CATGACACGGACACAATAATGTAATGTAATGTGTGGTAAATATGAAAAAGAAGATTACATAATTATGCACACTTTAGCTTAATAATAGTTTTATGAATGTTATTTGTATATAATAAATTGTAAAAATGATTTAACGGTGCGTTACAATGCAGACTATGGTTCTCGGTTCGTTAGTGATCGCGAGACCGCACGTGGATTTGCTTCGATGAAAATTACTGCGCATAATCAACTCATATATTATTTGTAAATTACGGTTAATGATTATCATTATCTTCGATTTGAATGTAACTAATGTTACATTTGCAACACTAATATGTGTTGTCCATTATTCATGAGCTTTTGAAATAATATCACAGCATGCCCGCACATCTCAATACGATCGAGCGCATCAAACTGATATATAATTTAAAAACGGAATGCTTTATTTTTTTATGTAATTATTAGTGTAATTTTACGAATGTTATTGCGCTAGTTACTCGTAACTTTTTTTTTGTTAGTTACCTCGACATATTTTTCAAAAAAAAAATTAAAAAAAAGCATATGAAACGTAACATTATCTTCCTAGTTGCGAGTTACGATAAGAGTTAGGAAAAAAAAAATTCAATTCAGAAGAGCGTGATTTCATATTCAGAAGATGTATTTTCCCCGTTGCGTTGAGGTCTGGCGAATATCTTATGATGTTGCTAGGTTTAATAGCTGACGTTGAAGCGCGCGATGGAATATATTTCCGTTCGACGTCCATATATTATAACGCAACCTCGAAAGAGACCATCGATACGACCTATCGGCGGTAACATTACCGACCATGTGACGGCGGCTGTCGCCACCGCCACCGCCTCCGCCGTCATCACCGTCGTCGTTCGTGAGCCCATATTCCGCCACGCGGGGAGACGCGTCGGGGGTTGCGCGGCAGCGCGGTAGGGTGGGTAATGTCGGGAAATGCAGCTAACGAAGTTTACGAAGACACTTAACGGAATTACGCCCTCGCTCGCAATGGTCCCTCGTCGTCAACCCCCGCCGTCGTCCGTCTCCACGTACATCGTCCAGCCATCCGCCCCAAGCGTCCCTTTACACTTTTCCGGCGGCAGGAAGGTCGCGTTAATTACCGACGGAGGCAAGAAGCCAGGGAAACGGTGGCGAGATATTTCGTCCTCGACGCGGAGCGTCGATGGTTACGAAAGTCGGCTATGGGGGCGGGCGATGAAGGATGGCGAAGGGGTGCCGGTGATGCGCGGGGGAGGGTAGCCAGAAGTGGGAGCGGGCCGGGAAGGGGTCGGTTTGCGCCGAAGAAGGGTGTTATTGACATGGTGGGTGTCGCGTCGTCGGCCATCTTGGGCCGCCGCGGTCTCCCCGCCGCCGTCACCTCCTCGTCCTCCTCGTTTTCCTCTTCCTCCCACTGCCACCGCCACCCTCTTCGTCGCATTCGCTCTGCTTCCCATCGCGTCCGAAGGACATCCTTGTGTTCTCCCTTGTACCGAGTGACATTCGGGCTGTGTGCCCAGCCTAACCTGCCCGGCGGACGCCCTGGGCCACCCTTTTCGACCAACCCCGACAACGAGCTGCGAGGGTCCCGGGGGCTGCTTGTCGCCATGGCGACCGAACCCTCGCCCAATCCCCTCAACCAAACGCCGATTCCCTATCCCTCGGCACTTCGCTACCCTCTTCCGCCACCCTCTCCTCGTCGCGCGCGTCGTTCGCGCTGCCATCCTCGTCGCCAAAGAGAGTCTTTCGATATCCTCGTGCGCCTCTCTTTGACGTCCTCGCCTTTTTCTCCTCATGCTTCTTTTGTCTTCTTTTTCCACTTTTCCTTCACTATTTCTTCATCCTCTTTGTCTGGTAACTAAATGCCAATCTTCTTTTTTTCTTTGGAATTTGTGTCGTCTTCTTTTTGTTTTCTTCCATTATAGTTCATTTTTGTCGATATCTTTTTCTTCTTGAACATTTTCGAATTTTATCTTAGTGTCTTTTTAATGTTTGTCATGCTCAAGCCAAATAATATCTTATATTTCACGATAAATCTCATAAATCTCATCTTTGCTATTTTTTTCTCTTTATTTTTGTGATTTTTGTTATTTTTTATATTTTACAATTTTATATTTAAACATGATACAATTAGCTTCCATTTTTTATTATCACGTTCTAAGAAACTAATATATTCACTTTGAAATGAAGACAATTATAATCATTTATAATTTTTTTAAATTATTTACATTTATTTCTATGATATTTACTTATAACACTGTACTTTTATGTTTCATATAACGCGTATTATTCAATTGTTTAATATTTTTAGAAAGTACCATGTATTTTTTGTTTTTTAATCATAAAATTTTTTTTCTAAATTTAGAAATTTTTAAATCTTATTTCTGTCGCGCTCTATATTCCGAACTCTCGCAATTCTTCCGTCAATACCGATAAAAATCTGGCATCCGATATTGATAACCGATATAATTAAAGGTTAATAACACTTTTCTATATTGATTAAAAAAAACATTGGCGTTTCGTACATATTGCTTAAAATGCGAATTGCGGTTTCGGTGTTACACGAATTTAATGGTCCGCGCCAAGTAAAAAATGTCTAGCGGTATTTGGAATTGGTTAACTGGTGGCGTTAATTCCGCTAATTATATTGAAGAGGCGATCCTGGGAGGGAATTCTGTACGTTCTTCCTTTTATTCGAGAATCCTTTATCAAACAGTCTCGAAGGTATAAAGTTGCTCACCCTCCAATCCCGCGAAATTGACGGATATTAGGAAGGACTTCGCCGCGGCTTTTGTCTCATTCGGCCACAAAGTTTCACGAAGCACCACAATCCCGACCAATTAGCAACGATTTCCTAAAATCAGGTTGTAACCATGAGCTAATTGGCACTTGACATTCAACCCACTCCCTCGTCCGTCGCGAGACATTCTTAAACCACAATTATCGATGATAAATGCTCCAATTAATTGCATACTTCTATTAAAGGAGCCCTCGAGGAGATTTTATATCGCGTGGGTTTTTCGTCATTTTAAAAATAGTACAAACACTTTCTGTTATGTTTTAGGATTCGCGAATTTATCTGAAACGTTTATTTATATCGAGTATCGGAGGTATCTCTTTTAGAAAATCAATGAATCATCAGTATATCAATAATGCAAAGAATATATTTAAAATCGTTGTCTACGGGATAACATTTTTAACATATTCTACGCATTTGTGTAAAAACAAATACTCGATATATCGGGAGCAAAGTATCGACGTTTCAATGGCGTTGAAGTAGCTTAAGCACTCTCGGCTTCCGAGACGTGACGGAGCGTTCGAATAAACTCGGCGATCCGGCTGAACTGTGCTCGCCATACCAGCTGCATTGCGGCGAAACAGAAGACGCCTGTCATCGGAGGACTTCGACGTAGGAGATCGCATCGAAATGCGATTCCGTAAATGCGCAACATGACTCTTCATTCACGGATCGCGCCGCCGCGGCCAGTCGTGGTTTTAAAATAGTGTTCACGGGGATGAATGCGAGGATGACCGTGGGGTGACAACGATTCGATTAATTAATGCTGGTGGAAGTGCCGCGTCGCGTCGCGTTTGTGCGCGGCGATAGGGCCGGAAGCGCACGCCGAGCAAGTACAAAAAAAAGAGGAAGGGGGAGAGAGAGAGAGAGAGAGAGAGAGAGAGAGAGAGAGAGAGAGAGAGAGAGAGAGAGAGGAAG